AGGAAAGATTCAGAGAAAATAGCCATACTTCGAAAAATCGCTTCTTCTGGAAGGTTCTAAAATTTGAATTCCCGCCAAAACGGAGAACTGCGAAAAATCAGCGATTTTTCGAAAGACAAATTGATTTTTTCTTCGCTTTTCTTGCAAAATTTTTTGACCTTTTTCGGTTTTTCAGCTATTTTCAAAGATTCTTTTTCGATTTTTCCGGTTTTTTTTGTCTGAATTTGGTGCGGGATAGTGTTTGTGCCGAAAGATTACTGTAGAATACTGTAGAAAACCTTGTAGTTTGTAGTTTTGGTTTTTTCAAACACAATCACGTCAAAATGCAGAAGAAAACAGTTTTAAACTACAAACTACAAGTTTTTCTACATTAATCTACAGTAATCTTCCGCCAAGATAACAATATCCCGTCGAATTTCAGACGAAAAAAAAACCGGAAAAATCGAAAAAGAATCTTCAAAAATAACTGGAAAACCTAAAAAGGTCTAAAAATTTTGCGAAAAATTGGAGAACAAATCAATTTTGCTTTCGAAAAATCGCCTATTTTTCGGTTTCAGAACATTCCAGAAGTTTCCATTTTTTCCACTTATTTTAAATCTAATTTTCAGCCAAAAATTCCCTTACTCAGATGGCAATTACTGTTGACCAGAATCTGTAGCGTCTTCAGCGAACAAGTGACTAATTTGAAGAAAAATGCGAATCCCAGCCGGTTCGTCGAGGATTTCTCGATTTTCTCGCCGGATTTCTCGACTTTCGAGTCCAAACTATCTACTATCAACTGTGACACGGCTTCTTGAAGCTCTGGATTCCTTCGAGCCATCAGAAAGTTAAAAACCTCGGAAATCGCTCGAAATTTGTGCTCATATTCCGTCTGAATGATATTCAGAACTGCCGGACCAGAGGATTGCACAGCTTTTCGATTATTGATTTCAGTAGCGTAGGTTTTGAATTGCTCAGCGCCCGATTCCAGAAGATGTGTCATTATGGTGCCTTGGAGGAAGGTTCTGGAATTTTTTTTAAATTTGAAATTCGAAAGAAAAATCAATTGTTACGCAATATGAAGCCAAATCCAACTGAAATGTTGTCCATGCCGACTCGATTCGAATAACGCCCTCATACATCCGTCAGGATTCTCGTTTAGAGCAGTTGTCACCACCATATTCATAAGGGAGAGAAGTTTGTCGATGAGCTCGTTGGATTTGAGTATCGCCAGTACTTCACCGTTCTGTTGGACTTGTGCCGTCGCAGGACGTCCCGCATTTTTGGAGCTGAGCTCGGCGCACAGTTTCCCAGGCCCACTGGAAAAATTGCAATTAAGAAAATTAGGGAATTTTAGATGTGTCTCTCTATGCGCCTTGATGCGCTGGATCTAGAAAATCAGTTTTCATTGAAAACGATCGAAAACGAAGCGAGTTATAACACTTTATCAAAGCGCGCTCTTAAATTTTACACTGCTTAGCAGTAGCAAATCTTCATTTTACTACTGCTTCGCAATACCAAAATTCAATTTTGCTACTGCCAAGCAGTACCAAAATCGGAGAAATCTTGTTCTAACTTTTTTACTTTATCCAAACTTGATAAAAATTATACAGTACGATTTCTTGTTGCAAAACGCATCGATTTGAACAAAAATTTCAAAAATTCGCAAAATAAACCATGAAAAATCAAGTTTTGCTACTTCCCAGCAGGTGCAAAATCCAATTTTAATACTGCTTGGCAGTTCCAAAAATCGGAGAAATCTTTTTTTAATTATTGCACTTTTTATCCAACTTTGATGAAAATTTTACAGTTCGATTCCTTGTTCCAAACTGCACCAGTTTATATAAAAATCCTACAAAATTCAAGAAAAAAACTTGCAAAATCAAATTTTGATGGAAAAAAATGGATTTTACTACTACTGGGCAGTACCAAAATCGAAGAAATCTTGCTCTAATTTTTTTAATGTTCGTCCAAATTTGATAAAAATTATACAGTTCGACTCCACGTTTCAAACTGCATCAGTTTATATATAATTTGTACAAAATTCACTAAAAAAGACTTGCAAAATCCATTTTTACTACTGCTTAGCAGTACCAAAATCGGAGAAATCTTGTTCTAACTGTTTTACTTTTTATCCAAATTTGATAAAAATTATACAGTTAGATTCCTTATTCCAAACTGCATCAGTTAATATGAAATCAAAATTTGCTTCTGTTTAGCATTACAAAAGTCAATTTTACTACTGCAAGCAGTACCAAAATCGGAAAAAATTTTGTTCTAACTTTTTCACTTTTTATCCAAATTCGATAAAAATTATACCGTTCGATTCCTTGTTCCAAACTGCATCAGTTTATATAAAAATTCTACAAAATTCAATAAACTAGAATTTGCAAAATCAAATTTTTTTGTAAAATTTCAAATTTCAATTTTTCTACCGCAATTTACTAAATTTTCAGCACTGTAAGAATCGAATTTCTCACTTGCAAAATCTCCTCCAAACCCCCTTTTCCATTGGCTTCTGTGAAGAATCGTATATAGTAATTCAGCAACTGTGACGTGGCTTCCTGAGCACTGGTGGTGTCAATGGCTGAAATGTTCAATTTTCTGGTCAAAATTCTGAAATTCAGAGTTTTTAATGGCGTTCCCTTACTCTGCGCAACATTCTCCTTCTTATTGAACCAGTGATGTACGCATTCATGAATCATCATGCCCGTATAATGATAAATGGCTGGTCGAGCCGATGGAAAGTACACAAACGCATCAATTGCGCATCTAGTAAGCTTTTCGACTGATAGAATACTTGAATAGCAAGGCCGGTTTCGATATATCGCTGTTAAATCTCCATGAGCAGTCGATTTAAAGAATTCCTCGAAGATTGCGGCGGTGTCTGCGTAGCGCTGAAGGAAAAAGGTGTTTTTTTTCAGGGATTTTTTCGAATTTTTACTTGTGTCATCATCGCTTTTTTATCTAAATCCCCATTTTGAACGTCCGAATCCATTGGGAACTTGGCTGGAAATGTTTTATTGAAAAAAATTAGTTGAAAAAATACACTTTTCCTCCTCACTGAAACCTGCGTCTCTCACTCTCTCGCGCGTGCAAACAGAGCGCGCTTGCATACTTAGCCTTCCGAATTTGAGAACTTCGCTCGGAAAACTTGAAAAACGTAAAAAAAATCATAAGTTTAAACAATTTTATCAATATGAAAAATAAAATAAAATTATCGCTATGCCTCCAGAGGCCTCAACTCCTCGCCAACTTCCTCGTCTTCCTCGATAATTTCTCCCTTGACGCCTCCTCCGAAACACCACTGATCCCGTGGTGGCATGTGCTCCACAAGATGACGTCCTTTCGTTTCAGGAAGACACAATTCGAATGAGAAGGTGTCGATTAAGGAGAAGAACAACATACAGCAGAATGGAAGGGCTAGCCAGTAGTCGGCCTGGAAAATATAGGAGATTTTTAAAAAGAGCAGTATCAAAAGAAGTAGAAAATCGTTAGAAAAAGAGCTGTAACTCGTTTATTTTTTTCTCAGATTTTTCTTAAAGTTGTATTTTCGGAATCCCTGTTTCAAGGCGAATTCATTGATATTTAAAAAGTTCTCGAGGTTCGTAAATCGATTTTTTAAAAGGCGATTAATTGAGAAATTGCTACTGCCCACTTGATTTACACCTGCCCAGCAGTAGCAAAATTCAAATTTTCTACTGCTAAGCAGTACCAAAATGGATACAATTCTTCAGAAAAATGAGCTGTAACTTGCTTATTTTTTCTCAGATTTTTTTGAAATTTATATTTTCGGAATCCCTGATATAAGGCAAATCTAGTGATACTAAAAATGAGTTTGAAACTCAAAAATCCATTGTTTTAATGCTCAAGAAAGTTCTGGCATTCTAAGCTCATTATAAAATGAGCATTTTTTGTTTTTGGAAAATTGTGGTACATGAAAATATGCGTTAATGCTGATTCCAAAAATGTAGAGTTCATACAGTTTGAGCAAAAACTAAGCAAGTTATAGTTGATTTTCTGGGATTCTACACCTGCTCGGCAATAGCAAAACCCAAATTTGCTACTGCCCAGCAGTATCAAAAGCAGTAGTAAATCTTCAGAAAAATTGATGTAACTTGCTTAGTTTTCATCAGATTTGAGTCAAAAATATATTTTCAGAATCTGGGTTTCTAGACGCATCTAAATACTAAATTCAATGACCCAGATTAAAAAATGATGGTTCTTTCTTACCAAATAAAAAATGAACGGAGAACACACGACGCCAAGACGATTCCATAGTTGTAAAAATGAATAGCCAATCGTTCGAACTGGCGTTGGGAACAGCTCATTTCCAACGATTCCGTCTGCTATGTAGATTTGTGACGTCATCGAGCTGGCAAGTAGAATGCAGATTCTTATGGTCTCCTTCATTTCGTGGTTCAGGTCTGAATTCAAAAAAAATTAGTGTCTTAAAAAAATTGAAATCCTCCCAAATTGCTTAATTTTCAACCAATTTTTTTTGGTTTTTAGCTCAAAATGTGGGGAATTTCAATTTCTTTAAAGTTAAAATTTGAAATTTGAAATTTAATAACTCACGAAGAGCATAAGACATGACAACGACACTCAAGGAGAGCAATACAATCACCAGACCACTGGTATGAATGAATTTCCGACCAATGCATTGGAATTTGAGATCTGCATAGCCGAATGAAAGGTTACAAACGTATCTCATCACTCCAGTGTATACAGAATTCCAATAAATTGATCCTGACAGTTTTTCCATATTGAATAGTACACCATAATTGATGATAGAGGTAGACCAGCTGAAAAAAATTTTTTTTCTAATTTTTCAAATTTGAAAAGTCCAAAAACGACCTTATTTTAAAGCCTTTTTAACTTCAACAATCAAAATCCTATTTTCTTAGACTAAAAACTAATTCTCCAATTTTTTTTTCAAAAATTTTTCACTTCAAAAATATTAAAATCCTCCTAACTCATCTAATTCTGAACCAATTTTTTGGTTTATAGCTCAACGGTAGGAAATTTTCTCTTCTTCAAAATTCACCAAATTTCAAATAACTCAAGAACTCCTAAAGCTCAACTTACTAGCTATAAGCCAAGACAATTGTGGTGAGTGCTAATCTCGGAGTGACGAACAGGTGATTATAGGAGAATTTGATGTTTCGAGTGTTCTTTTGCATTGTTTTCTGAAAAAAATTTTTTTTTTGGAAATTTCAAAATAGGTAATAAAGTTTACAGCATGCTCCAATCTCAAGTTGTCTTCGAAATCTTCCTCAATCAAATCTTCGTGATTGGACATTTTCAGCTGGCGTTGGAGAACCTGAGATTCGATTTTTGTTTTTGGAAGTTGTAACAAATGTAGATATTTAAAAAATTCAACAATTCTACGCATTTTAAGCTAAAAACCATCAAAAAAGGTTGAAAACTAAAAAAGCTATGAGTTTTTGAAAAATTTTAATTTTTTCAAAAAAACTTTTTTTTTCAGAAAAAAATTTCAGATAGCTTTTCGAGGACCTGAAGTAAGATTTTTTTGCAATCATAAAATTTGAAAACTTCGGCGCATTTTAAGCTAAAAACCATCAAAAAAGGTTGGAAACTGAAAAAGTTACGAATTTTTGAAAAATTCTAACCTTTTTCAAAAATATTAATTTTTAAGGTTTCAGGAAAAATGGTTCATTTTCGTTAGATTTTGTGAAGGTTTTCTGAAAAATATATTTTCAAAAACTACATTTTTTCAGCGGTTTCAATGAATCTAAAATTGTCAGTTCGAACTGATTCTAGAAATTTTTGAGCAATTTTTAAAAATTTTTGATTCGATATTGTTAAATTTTCCTTCATGACTATATTCATTGTCATCTGTTTTCTACGAATTTCAGATTTCTAAAATCAACAAAACGCGGGAAAATCGAATTTTTTAATTTTGTGTCTCTTACCTGTACAGCCTCACTAATCTTTCCCTTGTTGACCAGCCATCTTGGAGATTCATAAATGAAAAATTGGAAAAATATTATTGCAGGTATACAAACTGCCGCATTGATGTATGCCAGAGTTTTCCAGTCTTGAGCTAGCCTGAAGTTCAGAAAGTTGAAAAAATAAATTTTAAAAAATTCTTCAAAATTATCTCTTACCATGCAAACCATGCATAAATCGGCATATTTGGTGACCAGGTAATTGCCATATTAATCCACATTCGATGCTTTTTTGGGATATTTTCCATAATGAATACGTTGATGACCCTGGAAATTTGGAATTGGTGGCCTAGGAATTTGTATATTGAAGTTTCTAGGTCATGTTGGCCTAAAAATCAAAATTTTGGATTTCTAGGCCATTAAAATTCAACCAGTCATAATTTCTTCTAAACTCAGAGAAAGTCAAAAATTTAAAATTTGCCTAAAAGTTCAAAAATTGGATTTCTAGGTGATTCAACTTCAAACAATCACAACTTCCTTTAAACTAAATTATATTCGAAAATTTGAAAAAGACCTAAAAATCCAACATTTGGATTTTTAGGACTTTAAACGATCATAACTATCTTCAAACCAGCTTAATTTCAACTATTCCAACCTAGCCTAGAAACCCGAATTTCAAATTTTTAGGTCATTAAATTTCGAGCTATCATAATTTTCTCTAATCTAGCTCAACTTCGAATTCTCCAACTTGGCCTAAAAATCCAAATATTGTATTTTTAGGTCATTAAAGGGGGACTCAGACCAAAAATTTTTATTGCATTAAAATGTGTTAAAAGTTATCTATTTTCCGAATATTATTGCGAAAAAATTCAAAAAAAAATCCGAAATCCCCGAAAAACGGCGTTGAAAAGGAAGAAAATTCAAAAAAAGGTGCCGCCGGGGGACGAGGATTTTCAGTGAGAAACCTAGGCCACGGCAGCGGGCGCCTTTCCTACGTGGCAATTTTTACGGG